AATAGTAGAGACTGTGATCGAAAATATATCTATTGCCAATCGAGTTAGAATGGGCCAAGTTAATGCCCGTGCCCTCCATCATTGAACTAAGTCAAACGATTCTGCCGCACTGCCGACTACTAAGCCATCACTGAGGTACGCCATAAGCTCGTTGAAACTGCTACCGCCACTGCCACTTGTTGATGAAGATCCACTTCCACTCACAGCTTCCGTTTGAGTTGTCTTCTTCTTCTTCTTTAACCCGAAAACATTCAAGAATGAATGCGGGTTTTCATATTGTTGTTGCGGTTCCGGTACTTTAGAGTTTGTGCTTCTAAACCTAATCTCATATTTACTATAGATCTCATATATTTTTACCTTTATATTGAAAATTAGTCCGTACAAGTGATGCCTAAAAATTCACATAAGTTTTCTAAATCACTTTCTAATCCGTCTAATTTTAATCTAGGATCAAAAATTGTACCTAAACCATATAACAAAGGTAACTTAGACTAATATTTTTTTAATTTTTTTTCCATAGAATGAACAAGAACTCCTAAGATTGGGTCCTCCTTATATTCGTGAAATAAAATATTAATTCTTAAAAGTTCTCCTAAAGCTAAAGGTGATGTTGGGTAGTATGTTCCACTAAGTTTTAGAGTAACTTCATGAAACCTACCTAAAAATTGATACAAAACTTCGGCAATTTGCTAATTAAATGCGTCTATATGTCCTACTCTTAATTTTGCAGACATATAGTTTGTTATAGCATCCTTATAAGGAATGCATTGTTGAAGTATAATATAAGTTGAGTTCCATCTTATAGACATATCTAACGCTAATACTCTAGAAGGTATATTTAATGCTTGTAAGAACCTAAACAAATCTTCTTGTCTTTGGTTACTACCTTGAATCCATGCAAGATTATCTCTAATTCTTTTAATGTGATTACCCATTTCTTTTAAACCGGATTTAACTATTAAATTGATTACATGACATGCACAACGTTGGTGGAAAATAGTACCGTCACCGAATAGACTTAAATAAGTTTTAAAGAATTGAATTGCTTTTGTATTGGCACTAGCATTATTTAATGTTATAGCCATTACTTTATCTCTTAATCTAAATTCATCAATTACATTTAAAATTGTGTTATATATTAAATCTGCGCTATATGATTCTAGAACACATTTAAAACCTAATATTCTCTTATCTAAATCAAATCCTTTAAAGTAATGTCAGGTTACAGCTAAATAATCTTTATTGGCAATGGCAGACCAAATATCTGCCGTTAACGCAACGCACCCGCTAGTCGAGTGTAAAAGGTTTATTAATGCATCTTTTTCTTTTTTAAATAATTTTAATAAATTTTTCCTAAGAGTAGTTTTTGAAGTGAACTGTGCATTAGGATTGTGTACAACCTTAATATATCGTTGCCAATTAGGATGCTCTACAAAACTAAGTGGTTGATCTAAAGCAGCTATCATTCGCGCAACTTCCATACGATCTACTTGCGGATCTATTTTCAAGTGGTTAGACCACTGGTTGCGCGATCAAAAGATAATTGTGTTTGGCGGAGTTCGAGTCCGCTAGATTGGCTAAGCTTTTGAAGACACTTTTCGGAGTGTCGTCTCAAGTGTGTCGTGCCGTGAATAGTGTCGCCTTGTAATTTAGATAAACAATATTTACATTGAGCTATATGTTTAGTGTTACCTTCATTATCCACCTCGTCAATTATGTCGAAGTGATCCCAAATTGTCGAGGTACGCTTGCATTTCCTCCTGGAGGTTGCAACACTTGCCGACGCAGACGCAGTCGCACTCGTCGCCGCTTCTCCACGTCCACTATTGCGACCACGACCTCCAATACGTCCACCATGGCTTGGATTAGTAGATTGCTGCGTAACAAACTCATTAGTGAGAAATTGCCCTTCTTCTACATTGTGTTGGGCATTAATGAGAATACCACTATAACCAAAAGGATCCATTATAAAAAAATAAGTTGAATTTGAGAGAGAGAGCTTTAGAAAAATTGTGAGAGAGATTGAGAGAAATTGAGAGAGATTGAGAGAGATTGAGAGAGTTTGAGTGAGAAAAATGTGGAGAGTTTGAGTGAGAAAAATGTGTAGGGAATGAGGGGTATTTATAGGGAAATTTTGGGGTTAAAAAATGATTTTTACGGGATAAACGGCTATTTTTTGAAATTCGGGCAACCTCGGGCAATTCAGGTTTTCGGGCAAAATTCAAAAAACTAGCCGTTTCAGGTAATTCGGGCAGTCGGGCAACTCGGGCAGTTCGGGTTTTCGGGCAGAATTTGGGTAAAAATTCAAAAAACTAGCTGTTTTCAGGTATTCGGGCAATTTGGGCATCTCGGGCAGGCGGGAAAAATTCATGCAAAATTCAAAAAAATACCCGTTTGAGTGAATTCGGGCAGCGGGTTTGGGCACTTCGGGCACACTGAATTTTCGGGCATTTTTCAGGTCGGGCAATTCGGGCAGTTCGGGCATGGTCGGAAAAATTCAAAAAAATCCCAGCGGACGGCGGTATACGGTGGTTAGACGGCGGCGGGCAAGTGTGGACATGTCAAATTCGAGCTGCCCGAGCCCGAACTCGAAAATCTTGCTTGGGTGGGCGGGAAATGGGCTTGCCCGCCCGAGCCTGAAAAAATTCGGGCTTCGGGCAGCCCGCCGACCCGAAGTTCCGGCACTACTCTATAGTACAGGAACCACAACAACAATATGAAAACCCGCATTCATTCTTGCATATTTTCGGGTTAAAGAAGAAGAAGAAGATAACTCAAATGGAAGCTGTGAGTGGAAGTGGATTTTCATCAACAAGTGGCAGTGGCGGCAGCAGCTTCAACGAGCTTATGGCGTACCTCAGTGAAGGCTTAGTAGTCGGCAGTGCGGCAGAATCGTTTGACTTAGTTCAATGGCGGAGGGCACGGGCATTAACTTGGCCAATCCTAACTCGATTGGCAATTGATATATTTTCGATCCCGGTCTCCACTGTTTCATCCGAACAAGCCTTCAGTACGACAGGAAGAATACTTGAGGAACGCCGGAATGCATTGCAAAAGGATATTGTTGAAGCCTTGGTTTGCATTAAGGATTTAGATCGGGCCGATCAACGTCTACAAGATACAATTTCACTGGCAAGCCAAGAATGGATCGATGAATTTAATCGATTAACATTTAATTTTGAAGACGATCCCTCTGCTTCAAATTAAATTGTAAATTTGTAATTTGTAAATATGTATTTACTTTTTACATTGTATTTGTAATTTAATAAACAATGTAAGTTTGTATAATTTGTAATTCGTCACAAAATGATTGCACTTTTTTTTCCTTGCCAAGTTTTTATCCCAATTGGGTTGTTCTTGATAAGATTTTTAACGAGACAATCATGAATTACAAATTTAAAAATTAATAAAGACATAATTTTTTTATATAGTTCGTATGTTCATTTCAAATTGTAATATATATATATATATAAATTGTAATATATATATATATATAAATAACTTAATATTAAAAAAAAGTTTAAATAATTCGGGCAGGCTCGGGCCGCCTAATACAAGCCCGCGGCCTGTTCAAGGTGAAATTCGGGCTCGGGCGAGCGGCCCGAATTTCTCAGGCGGCTCGGGCTCAGGCTCGGACAAAAACTCAGGTTTTTCAGGCGGTCGCGGGCGGTCTGTCTAAAATTTCAGCACTAGGTTGTTCGTGGGTTTTAGGATCTCTCCCATTTTTGTGGCTGCTCTGCACAGCAAGCCCAGAAGGAGAGAAACACCATTTTGGAGAAGCAAAATAATAAGGCTTTTAAGCCATTTTAGGGAGAGAGAAAAATATGAAAAAAAAATATTTATATATTTTTAGTTATTTTGATTTAGATTTAGGTTTTATTTTTAATAAATCAGCAAGGAGAAAACATTTGGATATCAACAAGGAGAGGAGAAGAAGAAAGAAGATTTTAGAGCTTGTGACAAATGAGTTTTTCATTCTTATTCTCATATCTTTATTTTTGTGAATTGTAAATAGTGAAACCTTTGATTTTAGTTTGTTAAATTTTGGTAATGGAATGGTTGTTTTTCTAGAGTTTTTATTTACTTAATTATGAAGCATTAATTTATTTTAAGTGGGTTTTCATAGTTTATTTGTGTTGTCTCATTCTTAATGTTTTTAATTTGTTGGGAAATGAATTAATTGATTTGATGTATGAATTTGACGTTCCGGAGAGGTAATTTATACGTCTAATTTAGATAGTACAACTTACGTTTTTTGAGTTTGGGAGGCTTAAATTACCTTTCTAGTCATTAGGAGAACTAGAGCTTAATGACTGTTAATTACTCAGTTTTTAACAGGATATTGGAATTAGGTTTTGAACATATTATCTAATTTGACGTTGGGGAGATGTAATTTGGTTACTTAAGGGTTCTTGACTAATAAATTAAGAGATTCACTTAGTAATAAATTAGTGCAGATTAATTATGGTGGAATCAATGCTCTAGTATTTTTATTACTTATTTTCGTCACTTAATTTTATTTGCTTTGTTATTTTTATTAGTTCTTTTTATTCGTCATGTATTTCGGTTGTTCAAATAATCTTATAGCCGATTAATTTTAATACTTAACCAAAGTTAAACACATTTATCGTGAAATCGACACTTTTATTCACACACTTTATTGTTTGAAGCGACTTGCACTTACGAGCACAAATTCATGCAATATCTCTCTCTCTACTTCTTTATAACGTTTAGAAAAGGGCCTATGCAAGGTTTTTACCGTGCAAGCAAGCACTCACTAAAAAATGAACTAGTAGATTTCCGCTTCAAAACGCAGAACACCTCGCTAACACATAACATCAACTAGTAGATTTTGAGCAGAGGTTATATAGCATTTCCTTTAAAAAAAAAAAAAACACATATTTTACAGGATTATTCATCATAACAACAGTCGTTTAACTTGCAGTCTTCATTGACTAACTTATTTATAGACTACTTTCATTTGGCCATTTTCCAGCGTATGGACTGCAAATTTTTACATAACAACTTTGGCATTCACAGTGATTGAAGAATCACTTGAATTCCATGTTGAGGGTGGAGTGTAGGACGCTGAAACGGCCAGTGCACGTAGGCCGGAGAAAGGGTGAAAGAATAGCGTTGTAGAATCATTGAAAGAGCAATCTTTGCTTCTGTGATTGCAAAGTTCATGCCTACACAGCTTCTAGCTCCAATCCCGAAGGGAAAAAAGGCTGCTGCATTGTTGTTAGTGGCCGTAGAAACCCCTTCAGAGAATCTCTCTGGCTTGAATTGATTCACATCTTCTCCCCATATTTGAGGATCATGATGAAGTGCTAAATTGGAGATAAACAAGTTGAGATTTGCGGGGAGAATGTGTTTTCCGAGTTTAATTTCCCGTCCTACTTTTCGTGTAATAGTGATGACAGGAGGATATAATCTGAGAGATTCATTGATGACCATGCTCATCTGCATTAGATGATAAATTTAAGATCAGCTTAGAATTTCACATGTTAAAAAAAAGTTTCTTTTTTGTTTTCACTCTGTGACTTACTATTTTAAGTTTTGAAATGCCATCTGGGTTTGGCTTCTCCCTCCCAAATAAGTTGAGGACCTCCTTTCTTGCCTCCTCTTGCCAATCTGAGTGTACTGCTAGAAGGAGTACAGTCCAGCCTAGTAAGATATTAGTGGTTTCTTGGCCAGCAACATAAAATGTTTTGCACTCATCAACCATGTCATCAACCGAAATCCTTTGCTTCTCGTCGGCATCATGGTGAGCTCTTATCAGCACACCAAAAAAATCACTGCCAAAGCTATCTTCTTCCCCATTCATTACCTTCTCTTCTCTTTTCTTAATAAGCTCTATCACGCAGTCGCACATTTCCTTTTCAAGCATTTCGGATTTGACCTCGTCTTTAGTTTTGAAGAACTTGCTGCGAGAATGAGGAATCTTTAAATTGAGTGCATGTTTTGAGAAATTATGATTATTTTGCAAGTCCATATTCATTCTAAATGAAAAAGTTACCTGAAGCCAGAAAAACTAACTTTGTAAAGGTTTCTGAATGCTAACAAGTTCAATTTCTGTAACATATCAAAGATTTTCTTCCCTTCTAGGTAACTACTCCCAAATGCTGTTCTAGAAATCACTTCTGAAGTCAATAACCTAAATTCTTCAAACACCTCTACCTCTTTGCCTTCATAGTTTTTCCACCTTTCCAACATTGTTTCTACACTGGAGATCATTGCAGGGTTCATACCCTGTTAAGCAATATCATCATACAATTAGCACCATCTCTGCTTTGTGATTTTTGTGCACCATATATAGTATCTCTATATGTTCTTAAAATCCGTTGGTAAGTTAGCAAACGTTGCATGCAATTTTTCCTTTTTCCCCCGTTCACAGATAATTACATCAGGTGCTTAAATTAAGAATTGATGAACATAACAATATCAGCAGTAACAAACAAACCTACTATTAACGCGGAACAACAAGATTAAAGTTTGAATTTATATTTTACAGTTACGTACATTTTATCATCAATATTTAATTTTAAATTAGGATCATGTTTATCTCGTAGGATTATTTCGAATTTAGTTGAGTTTGTGTTTTTGTTTATCTTTTTGTTGGTTTCGATCCTAATTCTCATTAAGACTTTTGATGATTGATTAATGATACTGCGTTTCTAGTTTCCTCCTGTTATTTCTAATTCTTCTATCTCTTTCTTGGGTCCTCTATTGCTCTTCTTGATTTTTTTTTTTCTTTTATCTAGATTCTATCTCTCTTCCATATTCTATCTCGGTCCTACATCACTTACCCTCAAGCTCTCTCCATGGAAGGCATAATTGGCCAGTTTCCGCATTTTTCCCCATTTTTCACCTTCGCTTGTCACAAGGCCATTTCCGAATACCTTCCTTACGAAGCCTTTGACATCTGTTTTGGGATAAGCTCTGTTTCGATTATTGAGTACCTCTTTGATCGACTCTGGTTCTGTAATGACCAAGTGAGCTTGAGGACCAAGCCACTGAAGATATTTCTTTCCTGTACTCAATAGGGAAAAGAAACTAAATTCTCAAGCCAAGAGTTTCACTCTATAGAACAATGTAATGGCCATAAGTTTCCTTACCATATATGTCGGTCCACAACTCAATATGAGGCTGAACTTTGGGAAATATGTTGTGTGACAAACCCAATATAGCTCTGCTCCTGGCTTCCTTTTCCATGGTGGAGATTTCTTTGGTGTTGCCATGGATGAACCTGTAAGAAGGGCCTTTGATCCCTTGCATAGCCATCAAATGTCGTATGCGAGTCGGAATCCACCATAGTTTGTGAAGCACCTTAACCAGAACTAACAGGAAAAACAGGCCAAGAAAGCTTGTAACAACTATGGTTACATCTCCCAAAGTTCTCATGTTTCCCTACTTGGCTTTGCTGCCTTCTCCTTCTTTCGTTAATAAATTTGAATATTTATCAAAAGATTTCATGTTTATGATGTTGAAGAAAACTATGATACTTAAAGATAACAACTTTTGTCGCCTTTAAGGTGTCTCCACACAACATTAAAACGCTTAGACTAGAGTGATAGTTTTGGATGCATTCAACCAACCATTTGGCATTTAAAAACCACACACCTAAAAGATTTTCATGCTCAAATTTTACTGTGTCAAATAAACTTTACGGTGCTTTCTCACTCTATTAATTAGTCTTTGTAACTTATATTTTAGTTTATGACACGTGTTTTTGGACTCGTATCAAGGCACTTAGTTACTGCAATTATTTTTCACTTGTCAGCAATTACCTAGATTTTGTCTATGAGTCGAAACAGAAAACTGAAAACTCTACCTTAGTTCCCTAATAAGGCCAATTTTCTGTTGTCTTAAACAGAAGTTCTGCCAGATAGAAAAGTTCATTGTCGATATAGCATTGTTTAATAAACGCATTTTTTTTCAAGCCACGCAATCAAACTTGTCCAGTTACGAGGTTTTTTTCTAGAAAGATGGAGAAAGAACAAACTGGAAAAAAGTTATTCCATGTCCGGCAAAATAAAATAATAACATCTTGTACTCATCAACTACATCGTGTCCACTAAAATAATCCAATTTGGTTGTGGCATCATAGTAGCCTTTTACCGTTTCTCCGACAATAGCACGATCCAATATCAGGTCACAAAATTTGTCACCAAAAGAGAACAAAATTGAGTAAAATCAAAAGTTTCTCATTAGTAATAAAAAAAAAAATCCTCATTTCTCTCTCTGTGCTTTTCCCATATATCTTATAATTTTCTGCAAGAAAACAACCCCTAACTAACCAACGCTATTGACTAACCGTCCCCACCCGTACGATTATTGATCTTGATTTTTCAATTTAAATCATACGCTGCTTATGAAGTGAGTGGAATAGTTCAGTTAAAAAAATCTTCTCACTATATATAGACCGTCTAATTTAATGCCAACGGTGGTCAAATTGCCCTACGGGACCTACTTTAAAGGCACGCATACGGTGTTAAGTTTTGATAGTAAAGGGTGAGTGAGTATCGTCTCTGCAGATATTAGATATTAAATTACCGCTAAGTACCACGATTATCGTAACTCAACTTTATCTAGGCAATCGAACTTAATGAAATAAAAATATAACTAGAACAAATATAAATACAAAAATAAAATAAAATATGGAAAACTTCTATGCACAAATGTAATAGGGACTTGACTTCACCTTATTATTCCTATGTTCATCCTATCAAACCATTGCCAACCAATTCCACTCAATTCATTAATCAAGGGACCTAATCCAACCTCATTACCTCTCCCAAGTGTTAAACGAAATCATATGCACGAATACCCGAATCAATATTCCTATCTAATCTGTTTACTCATACACTCATTAAGTTTTGCCCTTAAATTAGAAATCAAATACCAATCGCCTCCTGGCCTCATAACAATAGAAATCCTAGTTGATAATCTAAAACTTGACCACCTCCAGATCTCATAATATCCTAAACTCTCAACGAGATTATCTAAGTGTCGATCTCCTCCCCGACTCACAACCACCTAGACTATGTTTCTCAATTTCGGACTATGAAATCAATCTCTCTCGAGCATCAAAATCACAATCTATAATTATCTAACTCATTGGCCACATAAAATTAGAAACACTAAGCATAGAGAAATATAAATAAATTAATATGGAATTTAACTAACAATTGACAAGTTAATCAAAACATAGTTCAAATAAAGCTACATCAAGCCCTAGAATAATAATCTAGCTCAACATAGAGGAATCCATAGCCAGAATTACAAATTCAAGATCAAAAACTAAAAAAACTACAAAGATAAAGAAAAAGGGAGAAGGAAAAAAAAAACTATTGTGAAGATGAGCTTCAAGCCTTCAACTCTTCAAGAATCACTTCCAAGCATTTTTCAAGAATCTCCAACTCTAAGCTCTTCTCTCTGAGAATTTTTGTACCTCTCATTCTCTCCAAGTTGGGAACTAGGGTTCTTTTATTTAAATATGCTCAAATATAAAGAAAATCTCAGCCAAAGTCATCTAAAGGTCTAAAATTAGCCATCCATATTGATTTTGTTTTCGTTTGGGTGAGATAGACTAGACTAGACTACACATATATGGATTACAGATCATCTATTATTTTATTTAATTATTTGGAGGGGACATCGTAATGAGCTTATCTTAATGTTCAAAAAAATGTAAGATATTCTACAAATAATAAAAATTAATTGCAATAATTGATAGAAATTATATAAAATGTCCATTTCAAGAAACAAATTTAAAAAATGTCTACCTTTTCATAATATTATGGTCCTTGTCTATTGTTTAAAATTGTTTGTAGTACTCGTTTTACTCTTTTTGTATATTGCAATATTTGATATTGATTATTATTATAAAATTACAAATTGCAACTGTTTATAATTGTGAGTTGTGACTATAATTGTATGTTGTCCTGTACACAAAAATTTTACCTTTTTAATTTATAACTTATTTTATCGTCATAAAATAATAATAATTATTGTAATTATTATAGTTGCATATTATAAATAAACACCCAAATTTTTTGAAATTTATAATCATATTTCAGTATCATAAAGTTATAAACTTCATTCTAAAAGAAGTTATAAACTTTAAATGAATCAAGTATTTCTCCTCTTTAGACAAGTACTGTGTGGCTCCTATAATCCTACTGCTGAGCTTTTCGACAAGATTTGGCCTGATGATCATCTTTAATGTTGGCCTTTAAAACAAAAGATATCCAGCGATGAAGGAAAGACGGAAAAAATAAATTGGCAATTTTTAAAAATACTTTTGGAGCCCTTTTTATTTTAACTCTTAACATTATCCAATATATTTCTACTTTTTATATTAGAATTAGTCAAATATTTAAGGAGATAAAATCTGTATTTTCTCAAAAATAAACTTACCATTTCTTTTCAGCCAAAAAAAAAAAAGCTCGCTACTTCTGAGTCGAAGTGGAATCCAACAAAGGGATACAGAGAAAAGAGAAACACTCCTGAAGATGCTTGCTTATAATTATTCAATTATAATTATTTACTTTGCTCTAGTTTGGCCTTGTAGTAGGAATATACAATTACGAAGTTAAGAATAATCCTTCAAAGCCAACAAAATGAAAATAAGTCAGAAAACTCCAAATTCGTAGGAAACTATTAAGAAAAATAGAAAAACAAATTGTCCGTCACATGCTTATTCACTATATATAGTTAGATGGTTCTCTTATTACTAGGACAATTTGTCTTTATATTTTCTTTTCGTTTTAATTTTGGACAAAACATTTTTTCTGCAACATGTTTAAAGATCACCATCCTGTATTCACAGTGGCTGTAGCACAACTTGAATGCCATGTTGTGGCTGAAGTGTAATAAACGCATAGGGTGAGTGGACATAGGCCGGGGAAAGCGTGAAAGAGTAGCGTCTTAGAATCATTGAAAGAGCAATTTTTGCTTCAGTAAGTGCAAAGTTCATGCCCACACAAGTTCTAGGCCCCATTCCGAATGGAAAATACGCGGCCGAGTTGTTGTTAGTAGCTTTCACAACCCCTTCTGAGAACCTCTCCGGTTTAAACTCGTACACATCTTCTCCCCATATCTGAGGGTCAAGATGAAGTGGTAAATTGGAGATGACAAGTTCCATTTTAGCAGGAAGATTGAGATTCCCCAGTCTAACTTCTTTTGCCGCGTGCCTCGAAAAGGCAACTACGGGAGGATATAGTCTTGTAGACTCGTTTATTATCTGGCTAATCTACATATCAATCCAGAAAAAAAAAAATTAAAAATTTCACATGTTAATTAAGATGGAACTCAGTGAATTTTGTACGCTTTTAGGATACTTACTACTTTTAGTCTTGCAATGCCATCCGCGATTGGATTATGTTGACCAAATAAGTTGACCGCCTCCTTTCTTGCTTCCTCTTGCCAATCTGTATGGATTGCTAGAAGCAACACAGTCCATGCAAGCAAGCTATTAGTGGTTTCCTGTCCAGCAAAATAGAATGACCTGACCTCGGTAATCAAATCCTCCATCGAAATCTGCTTCATTTCATCGGCATCATGGTGGGCCTTTATTAGCCCACCAAGAAGATCACTTCCATAGTTATCTTCGTCTCCACTCGTTACCTTATCTTCTCTTTTCTTGACCATCTCCATTATGGAGTTACTGATTTCTCTATCAAGCATATCAGATTCTATCTCATCTTTTGTGAACTTGCTGCAAAAAGGGGAAAGTTGACTAATTGAGTTCTTAAAAGCAGGTGGTTCAATTCTACATTTTTTCTAATAAAGAAGAGAGATTTAATGGTATCATCTTATTTCTTGTCTCCTCTGTCTAAAGCATAACGGACCCACTAAAAGAATGAAAATGACTTGATCCAATTTTACAGGAACTCAGTTTCTCTTACATCTTTAGAAGACTAGCGTCAACACCGCATAGCCTATTGACTAAGCAAGGAAATTAAAGTGGGACTATAAAGTATCGAACTTTTTAACTTATCCATGAGAAAATGAGGAAAAACATCCTAACCATTTCACCATCCGATTGGTGGTCTTCAAAATTTTAAATGTATATAAAGTGAATCACTTACCTGATGATGGGAAGCTTGATTTTGAGAAAACCCATGGTTACTATAAAGGTCAATCTCCTCAACATATCAAAGATTTTCTTTCCTTCAAGGTAACTGCTCCCAAATGCCGTTTTGGAAATCACATCTGAAGTCAACACCCTAAATTCTTCAAACACCTCGATCTCTTTGCCTTCATAGTTTTTCCACCTTTCCAGCATCATCTCAACACTAGACATCATTGCAGGAACCATACCCTATAAGACAATGCCAGCAAATTGTTTAACTTAAGTCAAGAACTTACCAATATAATAAACGATGAATCACTAGTGAAGTTAAAAAGAAACTTACTTTTAAGTTTTCTGCATGGAAGAAATGGTTTGCCAGTTTCCTCAATTTGTCCCATTTTTCACCCTCGGTTACCGCAAGCCCATCTCCAAATAGCTTCTTGACAAAACGTTGGGCCCCGGATTTCAGATAAACTCTATCTTTGTTGTTGAGTACCTCTTTGATCAGCTCCAGTTCTGTTATGACCAACTGAGGTTGTGTACCAAGCCATTGAAGATAATTTTTTCCTATCAAGGAAAAAACAAGAATACTTAACAGAGTTGTTCTATCCACGAAAGTATTATTCATAGGGCCATAATTAAATCTGCGAATGGATTGCCAAGTTGGCCCCTGAACTGTTAAGCAAGTTACCCTAAAATTTAATCAAATATTGCACAAGTGTCTCAAATTGATAAATGATATTAAAATTTGGAAGGAGTTGCCCTCATGCATGTGACATGATGTGCGCCGGTCGTCGTCAGAATTAATGTTAATCTCTTCCTTCAAACGAGCTCATGGAGGCGTTTATGTCTAAATTTTAATAAGATGATTCGAGGATAATCTATGCCTTGTTAAATTTAAGTTGTGATTTTACTAATAATAAGTTTATGGCAAACTTGTCATATAATAGATGTGCCAAATACCCAAATTATTGAGTTTTCTTACCATAAATTTTTGCCCAATACTCCTGATTAGGCTGAAGCTTATGAAATATGTTGTGACCTTGAGACAAACTCATAGGTTTGCTCATGGCTTCCTTCTTCATGTTCCACATTTCCTTGGCGTTACCCTGAATAAATCTGTAAGAAGGGCCTCTAATTCCTTGAGAAGCCATCAAAGATTCTATGCAAGTGGGAATCCACCATAGTTTGTGAAATATCTTTGTGAGAGCTAACAGGAAAAACAGGCCAAGAAAGCTTGAAAGAAGTATTCCCATGTCTAAACTTGCACTCTTATTTTTCCCTTCTTGTATTTGACTTTCTCAAAATACCCGGTGACCGTTTTATATCCTAATTAAGCGACTTTCATTTGTCGAATATTTTATTTATAATACGTAATGCAAGGTAAGCTGATGGCACTTATTTTAGATAGCTTGAGGGAACGTGCCTTAGGCACGTCCCGTTATTAACATTCTTTTTTCTCACGTTGCAATTTGCATTTTTTTAAATTTATTTTAAATTATTAAATATGATAAGTAATGTTTCATTACAAGCATTTTTTCTTCAAAAAAGAAACAAATAAATATGCTTAATCATAAGACTTATTTTTTTAAGCCAAACTGAAACACGATATGCTAACTATGTTTTCTTAAGGATGCTAATAATGTTTTAGTAATAATAAACCTATATAAGTATAGCCAATTTATAATTACTTTTCAAACTAAAAATGATATTCATAAAAAATTTTCCATAGCAGTGTAAAATTATTAAGTTTAAAATTTTAACTTAAATAAAATTATAATTCTATGAAAATCAACAATGGTATATTATGCATAATGTGGTTGAAAAAAGTATCTATATATGGTAAAGAGTATAGAGATTCATGTGAAAATATATATGAACGTAAAACAACAATAAATGAGGGGTTTAGAGAGAAAATTAATGAAAAGAATATTTTAATGGGAAACAATGAAAAATACAAGATTTAAAAACGAAGAAGAAAAAGGAGCAACTTTAAAGTACAATTGAAAGAAATGGAAAGGAAAAAAAAAGCTGAAAAATATAATTAAAGAAAAACTTGAAAGCAAGAAAAGTTTAAAAAAAAAAAAAAAAAAAAAAAAAGGGCAGAAAGAAAGCAAAAAGGTTGAAGGACAATAA